TGGCACACTTCCAGTAGGGCACCTGTTTTTTCCTCCCTAAACCACGGCCCTCCAGTGATGACGTGGATAAGTATAGGATAACAACCTGGCTACGCCCACTAAGCTCTGCCACCTCTCTGCAACCAGGACATTATCCACCCCTTCTTCTGTACCTGTAATGACCTCATCGTGACCCCCATTTGGGGGAAACTGAGGCACGGACAACCCCCCCGATGTCACCTGGGGGGTCCTGGGGGGGGAAACTGAGGCACAGACACTCCTCCAAAAGCGCCCTTGGGTAACCAGTGAGGGAAACCGAGGCACACCCCTGAATTACTCTCACCTCACCTGGGGGGGTTCTGGAGGGGAAAGTAAGGTGCAGATTCCCCCCGCCTCCCTCCTACCTAGGGGGGTAAGCTAAGGCTCAGACACTCCTCACACACACATAACCCCTTGTCACCTCACTTGGGAGACAGAAACTGAGACACGGCCTCCCACACACACACACTCCAGAACCCCCCTCACCTTACCTGGGGTGTTCTGGGGGGAAACTGAGGCACGGGCCCCCCCTGCAAAATTTTCCTCACATCAACTGGGTGGGAAACTGAGTCAAGGTCACTCCCCTGCCAAACCTTCCTCATGTCACCTGAGGGGAAAACTAAGGCACAGACCTCACATAACCTTGGGGTTCCTGGAGGGGAAACTGAGGCAAGGATTCCACCCCCAAACCTCCGTCAGGTCACCTTGGGGGGGAAAATGAGGCATGGACACCCCCCCCCACACACATAGCCCCTCTCATGTCACCTTTGGGGGAAAACTTAGGCACGGACTCCCACACACACACACACACACGCGCACACACACACACACACTCACACACGAGAACTCCCTTCACATCGCCTGATGGGTGCCTGAAGAGGAAACTGAGGTACAGACATCTCCCCCAAAACCATCCTCACGTCACCTGGGGGGCAAAATGAGGCACGGACCCACCCCAACCTCCCTCAGGTCACCTGGAGAGAGGAACAGAGGCACGGACCCTCCCCCACACACATAACCCCTCTTACATAAGCTGGGCTGGTCCTGGAGGAGAAACTGAGTGACAAATTGTCGGGGTTGACAGAGAACCTGTCAGCAGCCTGGCATTTAGTGACAAGGCAGTCCACATTGACCAGATTGCGGTGTATCCCTGAAAGGAGGATGATGTGGACACTACAGAAGAATGTAAACAACTTTAAGGAAGTGTTTACTGCAATGCCGGACGGAGCAAGCGTGATGCGGCTGAGACCGGGGGTCACCAATCGAGGTGTGTGTGGTGTCGCCAATGACAGTGTGCACAGTGTCTTCAATATCACCAATGACAGTGTGCACAGTGTCCTCAGGTCACCAGTGACAGTGTCTTCTGTCTCTCCAATGAGGGTATGTGCGGTGTCTCATGCTGGAAACTTTTGACCAATTGTGTTGTGGCACGGTGGTGTGCAAGGAGTATAAAAGAAACACTTGAGAACAATAAACAGCTTCCTGATCACCTTACACCTGGACCACGTCTGATATCTGTGTCGCTCTGGCCGTTCCGACTTTAACAGCGACAACAAATTCCCCCTCAAAACCTTCTGTTACGACCCGCCCCAGGAAAAGGGGAGGGGGAGTAACTCAGGTTTTTATCAATAATTCCCTTGGGGTGGATTAGAGTGAAATGACACTAAATAATCGGTGTCTGAAAACATATATTGGCAAGGTTTATTTTAACAATTTTGTATCAACAGGTATGTTAGCATTTTGGGTGTTATCATCTATATCATTTATAGCAATATGGCATAGGGATAACTTCAGGGGGGGGAAATGCATAAGGGAGAGAAAGGAAAGACAGGATAAGGGTAAGGGAGAGTAAGGGAAAGAAAATATGAGAGTGGAAAGATGCATATAGTCACCACCAACGCGGTCCAGCGATGACACTTGGTAGTTGCTGCTTCCATGTCTGTCAGTTGAAGTGGTGGCCTTGATCTGCTGGGGGTGAAGGAGGGAAGCCTCTACACTCCAAGTTATGAGTTATTATATCCATGGATGGTGTCACGGGCCATGTCTCGAGCCTCCAACCTCTCCCTGGGCCTGCGCAGAGTTTCTCAGTCTGGCCTGGTTCCTGCCTTTCAAGATTGGCGGGGGGGGGGATGGGCCCAATTGCCCATCAGAGGTGTAAGGCAAAAGTCAAAAGCCTGTAAGCTCGGCTCTTCACTGGAGGGAGGGGCAGGCCCAACTGTCCATCCGAGGTATAATGCAAAAGTCAAAAGCCTGCAAGCTCCTGGAATGCATAAATCATTAACCATTTCAGTCTCTGACAGGGGCCGAAAAAGCAACCCGGTGACCGACCGGTTGTGGGTGGGCGGGGCCGAAAAGGCGACCGGGTGACAGACTGGTCGTCGTTGGCCGGGGCCGAAAAA